AGAAGTACTTACTGCTATCGATTTTATCGATTTTTTGCAAAGTTCGAGGTACGGGGCTGGAAGTTGGCACAGGGGGGTAATCGAGCATGCTGGTCACGAAAGAGTTGGCACAGGGGGGTAATCGAGCATGCTGATTACGAATACCATATCGATTTTTTTGCAAAGTTCAACTTAGAGGGCTGAGAGCATCGATTTTTTTGCAAGGTGGAGCCACGGGGCTGGGAGTACACAGGGGAGTAATCGAGCATGCTGATTACGAATACAGTATTGGTTTCTAAAAATATTTATTACTTTTATCGATTTTATCGATTTTTTTGCAAAGTTTCTACGGGGCTGGGAGTTGGTACAGGAGGGTAAGCGAGCATAATTTTTTGCAAAGTTTGAGCTACGAGGCTGGGAGTTGGCAGCTGGGGGATAATCGAGCATGCTGGTCACGAAAACAACATTAATTTTTGGATTCATCCACTACCTCTATCGATTTTATCGATTTTTTTGCTCCATTACTTTTCCACGGCTGGGTTGATTTTACAGCTACGGGGCTGACACAGGGGGGTAATCGAGCTACGGGGCTGGGAGTTGGTACAGGAGGGTAAGCGAGCATGCGCCGATTACGAATACAATATATAGTTTTTGGAATTATCCACCACTTTTATCGATTTTATCGATTTTTTTGCAAAGTTCAACCCAGAGGGCTGGGAGTTGGCCCAGGGGGGTAAGTGAGCATGCTGATTACGAGTACAGTATTAGTTTTCGGAATTATCCACTTCTTTTATCGATTTTATCGATTTTTTTGCAAAGTTCAACCTGTGCTGACAGTTGGTACAAGGGGGTAAGTGAGCATGCTGATTACGAATTACAACAATTTGTTTTTGGGATTATCTGCTACTTTTATCGATTTTATCGATTTTTTGCAAAGTTTGACCTAGAGGGCTGGGGCTTGGCACAGGGGGGTAATCAAGCAGGCTGATTGCGAATACGATTTTATTTTTGGTTTCATCCACTACTTTTATCGATTTTATCGATTTTTTGCAGAGTTTGAGCTACGGGGACTGGGAGTTGGCACAGGGGGGTAATCGAGCATGCTAATTATTATACAATATTAGTTTTTAGAAACATCCATTACTTTTATCGTATGCTGATTACGAGTACAATATTAGTTTTTGGATTCATCCACTACTTTTATCGAATTTATCGATTTTTTGCAAAGTTTGAGCTACGGGGCTGGGAGTTGATACAGGGGAGTAAGTGAGCATGCTGATTACGAATACAATATTAGTCATATGTGAGCATGCTGATTACGAATACAATATTAGTTTTTGAAAATATTTATTACTTTTATCGATTTTATCGATTTTTTGCAAAGTTTACCTAGAGGACTAGAGTTGGCACAGGAGGTAAGTGAGCATGCTGATTACGAATAACAATATTAGTTTGGATTCATCCACTAATTTTATCGATTTTTTTGCAAAGTTTGAGCTACGGGACTGGGGGGTTGGCACAGGGGGGTAATCGAGCATGCTGATTACGAATACCATATTAGTTTGCAGGAGGGTAAGTGAGCATGCTGATTACGAATACAATATTGTTTTTAAAAATATTTATTACTTTTATCGATTTTATCGATTTTTTTGCAAAGTTCACGTACGGGGCTGGGAGTTGACACAGGGGGGTAATCGAGCATCACGGGGCTGAGATTTTATCGATTTTTTGCAAAGTTTAAGCTACGGGGCTGGCAGGGGGGTAATCGAGCATGCTGATACGAATAGTATTGGAATCATTCATTAGTTTTATCGATTTCATCGATTTTTTGCAAAGTTTGAGCTACCTGGGATTTGGCACAGGGGGTAATCGAGCATGCTGATTACGAAATACAATATTGGTTTCTAAAATATTTACTACTTTCATCGATTTTATCGATTTTTTTGCAAAGTTTGAGCTGTGGGGCTGGGAGTTGGCACAGGGGGGTAAGTGAGCATGCTGGAACAGGGGAATAGGGAATTTGCATGGAGAAGTGGCACGTTTTGAATAGACCGGGCGGAGCTGGGAGTGCCAGCTAGTTGTTGATATCCGCCACTGATGTCTGAGTGAATGCGATCATGCTTACTGTGGATGACTAATTGTGCACGCACGGTCGTGCACACAAATTAACTTGCGACAGTGTCGCTTTTCCCATGCGTCGCTGCAGTCCTTTTTGGAAAAACTCTAATTTTATTAGGTTAGCATGAGCTAGAGGTATTTCGTCTCGCGGGTTAAGGAGAAAATCGGTTCACAATGCAATCAAACTTAAAATCATGTCATCGGCATGATTCAGTGTTCCGCATTCACATTTTTTGACACATCTTTCCAACTTTCAGAAGTTATGGTTGACTCTGACCAGGAGAGAGTGGTTGCAACTTTGAAAGCTTACTTGAAACTGTGCGCGAAACCGTGTAATCGATTCACAATACTGAAGGTATGTATTTAACTGATAGGGAGATTCTTTGTTTCATTTTGCTAGTCTTAC